CCAGAAGATTGAGCAATTTTGGATGACGTCATTAATCATGTTGATGTTTCTGTGGATCACGATTTTCAAGAGTTGGGAAGCCTTGCACTTTATATTTTGGCTCTTCCTTTTAGCAACGCAGCAGTTGAAAGAGCATTTTCTCTGATGGCTTTGCTAAAATCCAAACTAAGAAATCGAATGGGACAGTCACTACTAGAGAATCTCTTGCACGTGAAATCATATATGGCAACGCAAAAAATTTGCTGCAACAATTTCACTCCTTGGCCTCAAATGATATCTAGGTTTACTTCAGAAATGTATGAAAGTACAGAAGACGTAAACGATGCGATATACGATATCAATGTGTAGTTTGGTTTAAATTAAATATTTTCAACAGACTTGGGCTAGTTTTTACTTGTTTTGATGCAAATTTGGGCTATTTCTTGCAAAATATAATTGGGCTATTTATGGGCTACTTTTAAAGGTAGCTCGGGCGGGTTTGCAGGCTACCCATCTAGCAACACAGGGTACAAAAAGTAATCTGGTATCTAACCAATCCGGTATCGTGTGAACAGGGCTTTAATTTACATATCAAACCGACAAAACAGGCTTTGATTTGTTGCGAAATGTACCATTTTAATATTGAATCCATAAACAACTCTGATTAAAGTTTGCGACTGTCAGCTGATGAGATGGCAATGCAATTTGAGTTCAACAGATGGTTTTGGCCATTTTTTACACTAGTACTTCTTCCTTGGTTGGTACTGAAATTTCTCAAAATGCATTCATCGAGAGGAAAAACAGTAAGTCCTAAAAGTTGTAGACATCTCGACTTCATTGAAAAACTTTTTGAGATTCAACCAGGATTATATGGCGGGCGGGGAAACATATCTTGTGTTATAACAGTTTCGTCTAAACAAAGTCTTTCATTTGAACATATATATAATTCCGTTGGGCTGCTGGTTAAACGTCAACCAATGCTAAGATCAGTAATCTCAACAAACAAGGATGGGGAACTTTTCTTTGATATCAAAAATATTGAAGATTCTATTCCACTGTTCGACATTTCGACATCTGATGCTAAATGTTCTGAATGGAAAGATATAATATACAAGCACACTTCAACAGTTCATAAGAACCATTTATCGTGGAAAGTTGTTATACTTAAACAGGACTATCATAGCGCAAAGCAAGTTTATTTTAACACGTTAATGTTTGCTTTCAAGCACTCGTGTATTGATGGTATTTCAACCGTTAAATTTGTTGAGCAATTTTTAAATAATCTTAATGAGATATCTTCTGGTACACGTAAGGTGCACGATGAAATCACAAGTCTGAGACTATCACCTAGTGCTCACAGCTTAATAACTCAAAAAATGTTGAGCCACTCTCTTTTCCGTTTCATCGTCAATTTCTCAGGCGTTCGCCCTATTTCGAAATTTCTGTTAAAGCGAATGATGTCATACGCTTTCAGCAAGAAAGCAATAAATCCATATTACCAGCAGTACCCACCAATTATTTCATCGGCACTTTTACCTGAACCTCTTGAGCACCTATGTGTAAGAACCTTCACTAAAGAGGAAACGAGGCTGGTTATCAAAGCCTGCAAAGCCAACGATTGTACTGTCACTGGAGCAATAACAGCTGCTGTACACCGGGCATTTTATAAATTAATGGGAGATAAGAATAAAAAAAAGTTAAACTTAGAGACATCTTTTCCCTTTAACAACCGAAATTGGGGCAACGAAAAAGCTGAAAGCGACTATTTGGGTCTTTTTGTGTATTTTTGCTCTTGTCATATGACATATTCTCAATCTACTGAAGAAAATTTTTGGACAATGGCTAAAGAAAGCACTGCGCAAATAAAAGAGCTTGTAAAAAATAAAGCGTTCATCAAAGAATTCACTTTGATGTCCAGCAGTGGAATGGATCCAAAAGTGCTGTGGGATATTCCTAATACAAAAGAGAATTTTCCAAAATCTGTCAGCAATATCATTTCTAGTTATGGTAATTTCAATTTTTCCAATTCTTGTGGTGCATCATCAAAGTACAACTTGGAAAATTGTTACATTCATTGCCTTCTGCAAAGAGCAAGCATTCTATTCCGACATAATATCTATACGATCAATGGGAAACTGACCTGGATGATAACATGTGATGCAACAATTGTCACAGCTCATGCTCAGCGTCTATGCTCTTATTGTTTCGAAGAACTGAGTGGCAACTCTGTCACTGAAGGAAAAGTATAAACACCCATGCATGTCTGTTATGTTTTGTGCTATGTATTTTGCACTGTTCTTAACATATATTAAATACGTAGATATAGATCGATACATGTTCATTGAGACTAGCCACGTGACAGCCATGCAAAAAACTCAATTGTGTAATTATTTAGAGTTGAAAACTATGAAACGTTGAAAACTATGAAAAATATTTTAAGAAGAACTATTCACATGCTAACTTTACATGGCCGATTAACAGAACTAAAGAAATATCGATTTTATTAAGAAAGGGAGGCTTTTTTAGCATTTATCATTTATTTTCATTGTATTTTTGGATTTCTAACCCCCCCCCCCCAATAGAGTTTCATATATTTTACATGCTCCTCTTACCCTTAACGTGAATGCAATGTCCCAGAATGTTGCTGTCGAAATTTGACGTTTGAAGGAGTTATTTGACAACTACCTAGGAAAAAATTAATTTGGCATCTTTTTAGAAAAATGATTGTGAAAGAATTTTTGTAGAATTAGTGGTTGAGATAGGCAAGAAAAAGAAAGGCGTGGTTGAATTATCTGAAATGTAAAAATATATTCAACCGTCGATGAAGAATAGATTTGAATGTTGAAGAATAGATTTGAATGTTGTTAGCTAGAGGACAAAAAGATTTTAAGAAAAAGTGTAAGTTTGTTGATGAGTGATGAAATAACAGTTCGTGATGGTGAGAGAGTTACCACAGTTTTTATTATTGGCTACTGGCTAGCATACTTCGGAGAGGTGGTTGGGATGACTATAATCTTTATTGCCCCTTACCTGACATTCAATTGATTGTTTCTCTCCCTTTGTCTTGTCTGAAAAACAGTTAGGGTGGGTTCCCGTCCTTTCCCCCTGTCTCAAGGTCTAATCACCTATGCCTTTTCATAAGTACTTAATTCACATGTTGGACAGTTATATTTATTTTGAAGAGACAATGCTATACATTTTATATGAATTTTGCTTTCTTCTCTTGCAGTTTTGTGTAATGAGTGTACGTAAACTATTTTTTGTGTGATTTCATTCATAGAAAACCCATCTCCTTCGTATGTAAATGAGATAATAGTGCAAGTTTCGTAGTTCCATTGTGTATTAATGTATTTTGGAGAGATTTACATGAATTAACAAATAGCTGCCAATCTCGTGTATATTAGCTTCATAATCCGAGTTCAATGTATTCATTCTGCACAACACGATTGACATGTTTTTAATATTGCATACAGAGCATTGATACAGAGCCATAAATTATTGACTCACGTTTCCTTGATTTAAAGGTTATCAAATGTTATATTGTTAACCAAACTACATAGTGATTAATAGAGCATCTTATCGCAAATGTCAAATCTACAAGATAAAAAACTGTCTATTTTCACCATAGAATATGTTGACATTATTGAAAAATGTGTTGAATGATCACATAAAATGTGATACCGACTGGTATTATTGCTACTCGCTGATGAACAGTCTAAACAATTTGCATACAGAGCATCTCAATCAGAGTGTCTTTGTTCACTTCTTCGTATAGATTATTTAACAGAGTAAACATTTACATATTATTCTATAAGGGCTGATTACATGAGCCCGGGTAGCCGGGGTTCAGCCAAGCGTTAAATGATTTTGGCGAATGGAAAAGGTTTAATACTTATCATCTGATAAATCTTCTCGAGCAATTTCACAACATTCTGATTTAATAACTACGCAAAATATTTAAAATTAAAACAACCAATTTGGCCTAATTTGAGAATTACAACAGGAATTACTTGCGGCATTTAAGAAGCAGTTCTAATTTTTAACTTTGAAATTTTGCCTCCTATCAATCCCTCGAAATCATTTCACGGGGCTCAGAGAGGATTTTGAGTCATTGAAAGGAGGCAAAATTTTTAGCGGAAAAATTACAACTGTTCGTAAAGTGCCACAAGTTATTACAATGGCAATACTAAAATTAGGCCACATTATTTGTTTTTATTTTAAATGCTTGCGTATTTTTAAAATCAAAATATTATGAAATTGCGGAAAAAGATTTATCTGATGATAAGTATTGAATCGTTTCCATTCGCCAAAATCATTTAACGCTTAGCTGAGTCCCGGCTACCCGGGATAATGTAAACACCCCCTTAGAGAACTTGTTCCTTGTTATCAAAAAGTTGAATGATGAAAAAATCCTTTTCAGATTGTCATGGATGATTTTTCGTACTGTTTTATTGCTCTAGAGTGTGAAATCATGATGATCATGAAATTATCACGTGCATCATTACGTAAAAATGTAACCTTTGATCGATCTTTCTTTGACTGCGACTTTGACTAAAAAGGTCTTTTTTCTTTTTGATAATTTTTTGCATGATAAAGCTTTGAATGCGACTTTTACAAAAAAGGTCTTTTTTTCTTTTTGATAAAGTTTTGCATGATAAAGATTTTGCATGATAAAGCTTTGCATGATAAAGATTTGCCTTAATCTCTAGTGGCGTCATTAGCTTGACATTTGGCGAAGGGGATATTCATACATTCATGCATGTTGTAACCGTTACAAAACAATTGATTTCAAAGGAATTTAAAATACAAATAAACGTACCATATGATGGTGTCATCTCACCTTGGCAAACGACAGTTGCGTGAAGTCAGCAAAACACTCTGTTTCTCTCGGCGCGGTCTCAATTAATAAGTGAAGAATGTATGCTCTTTGATTTCGACTTAATTTACATATTCAAGCGACAAAAAAGGCTTTGATTCATTAGAAATATTTCAATTTTATTGTTTTTCTTGTTACGCATTCATTAACATCTCCACATTGAAGCCATAAACAACTCTGATTACGGTTTTTGATTTTAAGCTGATGAAATGGCAATAACATATGAGTTTAACAGCTGGTTTTGGCCATTTTGCATACTGACTTTCCTTCTTTGGGTAGCACTGAAGTTTCTCAAATTGTCATCATCACGAGAAAATGATGTAAGTAATGGAAGACCCCTCGACTTTCTTGAGAAGTATATAGAATCTGCTTCAATATTGAATGATGGACAGGGTAATATATGCTGTGCTGTATCACTCTCATCTAAACAAAGCCTTTCATTTCAAAATATTTACGATTCTTTGGTACTGCTAGTAAAGCGTCAACCCATGCTTAGATGTGTAATCTCAACGAAGAATGATGGCGAGCTTTACTATGATATAAAGAATGTTGAAGATGCTATTCTGCTCTTCGATATCACAAAATCTGACGATAAGATTTCTGATTGGAAAGATTTAATATACAAGCACACTTCGAAGGTTCATAATAACAAATTGTCGTGGAAAGCTGCTGTACTTGAACAGGAATACAATCCCACCACACAAGTTTATTTGAATATGATAATGTTTGCTTTTAAACATTCTTGTATAGATGGCATTTCTATCATTAAATTTGTAGAGCAATTCATAAATACCCTTAATGAGATATCCAGCGGAGTTAGTAATGTTCACAAAGAAATTACAAGTTTAAAATTGTTGCCTAGTGGGCACAGCTTGGTTATTCAAGATAAAGTCGGCCATAAATTGTTTCAGTTCATCATTACATGCTTTGGTTTTCGCCCAATCCTGACCTTTCTTTTAAAGCAAATGATTTCTTACACTTTTAAAAACAAAGCACCTAATTTATTCTACAAAAAGCACCCTCCAATTTCTTGGGATAGATCAGTTGAGCGTCTAGAAATGAAGACCTTTACCAAAGAAGAGACGAAGTTGGTTGTTAAAGGCTGCAAAGCCAATGGTTGCACAGTTACTGGAGCGATAACAGCTGCCATTCACTTGGCATTCTACCATTTATTGGACGAAAAAGATACGACAAAGCTTCACTTAGAATCGAGGTTTGTCTTTAACAACCGATCTTATGGCAATCAAAAAGCCCAAGACGACTACTTGGGTGTGTTCGTGTATTCTCTTCTTTATAACATGATGTATTCCCAACCTGCCCTCAAAGAGTTTTGGACAATGGCAAAAGAAAGTTCTGTTCAATTAAAACAACTTGTGAAAAATCAAGCATTTGTCAGAGAAACTACTTTAATGGCCAGCAGCGCTCTTGATCCTAAAATTTTGGCGAATCTTCCTAATGAAAACGACAACATTTTGAAATCTACCAGCAATCTAATTTCAAGCTATGGCGTTTTTGATTTTGACAACCCTAATGCAGCATCAACCATCTATAAAGTAGAAAACTGTTTTATTCATGGTATTTTTCACAACACGGATGTTATATTTCGACATCACATTTGTACTGTAAACGGAAAACTGACCTGGATGATAAAATGTGATGCCACCATTTCTGAAGATCATCTCAAGCAGCTAAGTAATTTATGTTTTAAGGAACTGATCAATAACTGCTCTATTGTGAATAAAGAGTAAATACCAATGATATGATAAACTTCCTCAAATTTTTTGTTGTTCGTTGATTAATTTTGTTAAATTCTACTGTTCTTAATTTCATTTCACTTTAAAGACGCGTTTTTTAATGGAAATGGGCAATTTTTTTGAAAACGAGCGCATGTGCATATAGGGAACAATCATTTTCTGTACTGAGCATATAGCTAGTAAAAACAACTTTCTTTATTTGTTTCAACTTTCTTTACATTGCAGTTTCCGTAACTTGTATACATTGCTGTCGAGCTGTGACTTCGATTAAATATATTATTTCCTCTCTTAATTAATTAAGTATGACGTACATAATTACGTCTGCAATTTCAATTTAATGAAGAATCTTATACATAAATCATAAAATATTCCCTATTCAGGTTTCACGGTTACTCGCATCATGAATTCTATGGAAGTTTACGTCGTTTTAATCCATTTTATACTCATGGTTTGTTTTTTATTGACAAATATCATACGAAGTGCAGCAGGTCCTGACTTTGCATGTCAATTTTGGAGTACACCTTGAGTGGCATGAGCCCATATGATTGATGTAAGTCAAAGCGGTAGCATTAGCAATTAATACCTTAACATTGTGGTCTTTTAGTTCCGTAGAAAATGACTCGTGAAAGGTTCTTGAACTGGAAAAAGGTTGCTTGTTGCGTTTATGTTTCTCAGTTTTTGCATGAGAAACTAGATCCCCATGATGTGCTCGAATTTGAGTTTTGCAGTACTTACAATAGGCATTTTGGTCGTCTCCTAGTACTCTCAAAATCCATTCTTTCAAGATTTCTTCCTTTTCCCAGTCTTTACAATACTTTTTATGGTATTTTGCCCACTTTCCCATGTTATATTAGCACAATTGCTGTTTACCACGACAAAAACAAAAACACGTGGAAGCTAGATTATCAAAATTTTTTCCAGCCCAAAAAATCGCGCAAAAAGTTATTCCCAGCCCAAAAACCCGCAACCCGCAACCTCCCAAAATTCCCCGCAAACAAGCTTATAAACCAGCCCAATTGGGCGGGAAAACCGCCCATCTGGCAACACTGGGAGGGTGTTGGAAATTGTGAAATTTTCGGAAAAGCGGTCAATTTCGTTAAATCTCAGCGGCAACGGATGAAATCCGCCATTTTTTGACGTCATCAGATATCTAAGGCCGTGCTTGAGATAGCCGCTACAGTTATTATAGAACTCAATGCTTGAAAGCCGTAATGACATTTTGAAGCAATAAATCACGTGATTGCAAACAAAGAATTCATGGAGGATACCTAAATACCGAGCTTCGGACTGAAGCTCGGACAATCTCGGACTCGAGTTGGACTCGAGCCACTCGACCTCTGATTTGACCTAGAAAGTTATAAATCTAATTAAAACTTAAGACCTCAAACTATTTTGTCAATGCAAGCTTCGCAGGTGACCACAAACATCAATATATGTAGATTTTGTTCGAGTGAACTATATGAGGCTGTTGTACATGCATTTATTCCGGTCGAATTATCAGCAATTATTCGCATTGGAATTATTCATTTATTGCTCAGTTTATCCTGATCACCATAGGTGAATTAAATGAAAAGCCGAAAGGTAATGATATTATTTTTCTCTTGAGTCTTATGGTTACAAATATTATCTCAGTGAATTTACATAACTTATGTTTCTACTTATCCCACGTCATACCATCTTATCCCATATTTACTATCACGTTTTCATCCCACCATGTAATTTTTACAAATTGTTCTTCTTTATTGCATTTTAATGTGCTAATGAAGGTATCACAGGCTTTCTTCACTCTTTTTAATCAAATGTTGACTTTCCCTTGTAAATTTTAGCTTTTGTTTCTATGTTAAGATTATTAAGTTTAAAAACAGTTTTCATTTTTTTTTACTTTGTCTGAATGTGGGCACTCAGAAAGGATATCCAACAGTCCAAATGTTGGTAAGGCTGACATGTCATTTGATGTATGGGTTATTTTAAATGGATCTTGTATGCGCTTTCCAGCAGGAAGTGTCAATCGTTCTTGAAGACAATGCTCCAAGGAATCCTTTGAAAAATCAGGATCAATTGCTAGTTTTGCCTCCTCAGTGGCTTCTGCTAAAATTATGAGATCGGATTTTAAATAGTTTGTAGTTGGTACACCACGGTCACTGATATACTTTTTCAAATCTTTAACTTTCCAGTCTTTGAAATTATTTCTCTGATGAAATTTCCCATCCATGACAACTGTACTAGTGTCAACATTCTTCGCAATGTTTTCATTTTCAAGCTTTTCTTGTTTGGTTTTACAAAATATGGTTTTATGTTTAGATAGACAAGATGTGGTTTTGGGTTTGGATTTGCGGGATATTGTTTTAGGTTTTGATGGACAAGGTACAGTTCTAGTTTTGAGTGGAGATGATTGGTCATTAGAAAGAGATGGTTCTTCCTTAAGTTCAAGATAAACCAACACTTGTGATTGGTATTCATTGGCAGGTATTGGGGAGAGACAACAACTATTGATAGGTTGAAAAAGATTGAAATGGCAAGCAGCTCTGTGAAAGTTATCCAAGACCAAAGTGATTGGACAATCACAGATTCGATCATATTTTAACAATGGACGTAACACCAGGCGAAGAGTGAAATAAAACCATTTCTGCTCAAGCATATCATAAGCACAAATTTCATGCTGCAAGGCCGTGGCACAAGCGTACATATCCATTGTTTCTCCCCACTTAGCGGACGTAATATTTCGCTCCAGATGCTTTCCATCGATTCGTATCGAAATAAATACGGTTGAAAAGTAGCCAGATTTTGTATCGAAACATCGTTACACATTTCTCGAATGTGAGCAACGTTTTCGTCGCTTTCACCATTTATAGCCAACGCAACTGCTCGATAAAAGCAATTGCCGTCTCCACATACTTTTACTTCTTTTCTCCCAACTGGTAACAAATACCTATTACAACGAATAGCCATTATAATGGAAATGGGTGCTTTAAATTGAGAATTCTCGAAAATATAACTATCACAGATATATTTCTGAAGAAATGTTTGCCCCCCTGGCGATCCCAGAATGCATTGCAAAACCGCGCAAATTTAAGGGAGAATGGCAACATTGAGTTCTATAATAACTGGAGCGGCTATCTCAAGCGCGGCTTTAGATACGCATGTTGTAAAAAACATGGCGGATTTCGTCCGTTGCCGCTGAGATTTACCGAAATTGACCGCTTTTCCGAAAATTTCCCAATTTCCCACTCCCTCCTGAGGAAAGAGTGAGGAAAATGTATGTGTGTATTTGGGATTCGGCAAGCAATTTTTTGATGAAAATGAAGGTAAAAACCTTAAATTCATAACAGCGAGTCAACTGTGGTTGTCAGTTATCTGCTCCTACAAGGATGCATTTATAACTATCGACGAAAGAGCTATATGTCGGCTACACATGTATGAATGCAGATGTGCGTCGTTTTCTTACCAGCGTCAAACTTGTTTGATCGATTAAACTCTTTAGTCAATACAAAAAAGTATATCTTAGTTCATCTCCACGGTTCACGAGAGAGAAGTCAGCTTATTTGTTATCATTGCTATTTTGCTTCTTTTCATGCAATGGGCAATGGCTTTTTTCGCCACAATTGTAGGATTTTTACTTGTTTCTTTAAAAAAGTACATATTAAATCTCTGGATATTTACGGATTTTCTGTAATTGAGTTAAATATGAAATTTCAAAAAGACTCAAGTCTGCATAGGTTTGGTAAATGAAAACAAGCAATATTGTATAGAAATTACTTTAAGTAACCTTTTTGTGATGTTCTGAAGTGCAAGTGCATCAAATACTTGTAAAGTTGTAGCACATTTTGATTTTGTTGTATTGATAGCACAATTTGTTTTGTTTTTCCTATATTTGCAATAAAAGTGCACTATAATTTGAATGATTAACACAGTTTTCACCTCAATAATAAATTTCATAAGCAGTTGGTAGTGCATTTTGTTCTCTGAGTATCCACATCTGGTGTTTTGTTCATACAAGAATGATGAAGTGCAAATAGATATGTCATAGTAAGGCAATAAAACCAAATGAATTACATACCTATAGTGTACTTTTATGCTAGAAGCTTAAAAGCTTTTTAGAAATTAGAAAGTTATTGTATTATATTACCTCTATATCATCAATCTCATGATAAGAAATAAGAAGCAAAAAATTTGTAGAAAAGCTTTGAAAAGTGAAAAACTTTCTTTAAAAAAGCAGCAATAATGCATATGATAAATCTCCATTCTGTACTCTAATAGGTAAATAAGCTCAAAGTTTTCTTAAAGAAATATAAGAAATATATAAGAAATATACAGTACAGTAACTTTAAAGGTTTCATCACTGAATCTTTATTGCTTCAGTATAGTGCATTAGATATTAGTAACATTCAAACAACACTCAACTAAAATATTTTGATAAAGATATGACATGATTTAAACATTAAGCTACATAAAACCCAATGGCTTATACAGTTTGAAGCTTCACATCTGCATTGAGTCATCATCAATCTCAGTACAAATGTTTACATAGACACAAACTTTATGGCCTTCTGTTTTACATGTTTGTGAATTGACATTTCATTAAGCATCAAAACACACACAACCTTCTTGCCATCTTTCTTTGGATCATGAACTTTAACTTCAAAGCATTCAAGGCATCCTTAGTGAATCCATTGTCTCCATCCATAGAATTTGACCATGATTAAATTAAATAACTCTGGATAGGGCAGACAATAAATCAATTATCTTTACAGCATTATCATTTTTTAAGACTCTGCCTGGTCAATAACATCTTCCAGTCATCTTTACTCCTTGATCTTCCCTGCATGTTGTCAGCAAATAGAACATAACAAGCTCTGCTCCAAATCATGGGTACCGTTGGGGCTGATCATTTCTTTTTGATACTTACTCACAGAGCAAAATGTGTGCAGGGTCTTTTTTGCTTTAGGGAAACTATTTTGCAAATAAATGGGTAAATTTACGATTTCATGCATTAACAAATGACAGAAAAGTATGCAGAATTTTA